ACACCTCTTTGGCTTTCCCCTGCGCCTGCTCCGCCTGGGGTTGGCCCCTATGCTGCCTTTTCAAACGCAAATGGTCCTTTGCTCTCGGGCCTTGTTTCCGTGGCGCTGCCCCCAGTGGGAGGACACAGCTCAGGAGCCGAGAGAGTCTGTCGAGTGTCAGCAGCAGGCACCAGAGTGGTCAGTCTATAAGCTCTGACCCAGTAACATGTTACATTCACTTGCAGGGCTTTGGCAATATGTCTGTGGGGACACTCACTCGTGACCAAGTCGGGATCTTCTAGTATTTTGGGGTAGGGGGGCAGCCTTTGAAAACAAACACGCGAACTCACAGGTGGGTTCTAACCCGTCAGCAGCATTCAGACCCACGGGGCCTGAGGGTTCTCCGGTCCTGCGGGAGGGTTCTTGGAATTTCCCACAAAATAGCTCTTCACATTTGAAACAAATTCTTGTTCTTTGATTTCTGAAAACGAGGGGATTTTTAAATGTAATCATTTCTTTTTATTTTCGTCTTTTCTGCTATTTCGCTGCTTTGGTTTGTTTTATTTTCTTACTCTGGATTGCCGTCAGTTGGTACGTCACATGCTGCTTCTCGTTACCCGTTTCACAGATGTTCTGGAAAGCTTTTGCTTGGTTAGATACCACGCTCTGTTCTTGGTTTAAAGTCTTCATTAAACTGAGATTGTTTCCCTGACCGGTGTGGCTGAGGTGGTCGGAGCATCGTCTAGTTCACCAGAAGGTGACGGGTTCCATTCCCAATCAGAGCACAAACCTAGGTTGAGGGTTCAGTCCCCATTTGGGGCGAGTGCAGTAGGCAACTGATTGATTTCTCTCTCTCTCTCTCTCTCTAAGTCAATAAAAATAATAATAATAATGAACTGAGTTTGTTGCTGCAGTAGGAGGCACTTTTATTCTGACTTTGTTATTAGTTAATATGTTTCCTTTCTGGCAGACAGATGGTGAAATAGAGCTTTTCTGTTTTTTCTGAGTAGCTGCTTGAGTAGGGAGTCTATAATGTATACTACAAAAGGACTGCTCCATCAAAAGATTTTACATTAAGAGAAGACAAAAAGTCACAGCCAGTGTCAGGTCTTTTGTCATAGGAGAAAGAAGCTGCGTCAGGTAATTCAGTGACTGACTCAGACACAGTTTTTATTTTATCCAAGGAAAATGATCATAATTAGATTGTCTTTTCTGAAATTGGTACTGTAGTGTCTTTTTATAAAAGTGAATCATTAGCAATGAAATTTTATCTTTGAAAAAGCCCAAGTGACTTATTAACGAACACAGGTGTTGCCATTATAGAAATGGCCAACTCCCTTTCTCATCAGGCCATTTATGAATGATTATTTCATCTCACAAATAGTTTTATATTTATATAAAAATAAATTGTGTATAATACAAATATTATATGCTTACCATTTTCTCAGTATCTTGAAGGTGTAAAGATTTCAATAAGGTTTGCCTAATGACATCATGTCTCTTCCAAAGTTTTTTCTCAGGAACCTTGAAATCCTGATGTGTTGCTGGCTCTCTAATTCACTTACTTTTCCATATTTACATGTGCCAGTATATTTAGTCTACCTATCATAACATATTCTCTTCTTATGATCAATCTAGTTGCCAAGGGATTTTTTAAGTCTCTCTCTACAGCCTCATAGCACTTAAGCAGTAGAACTCAAAGTCCTGTGGTTACTAAATTCTTGAGTCTCTTTGGTTCCCTGAGATTTACTCTAGCTGCTTTTAAGTCTAAGTATTGATATGTAGAATATTTGGAAATTTAGATAGATAAAAACATGTGTTCTGTCCCCTTTAACTTGACTTCTAAATAATATTTAAATAAAGATAGGCAGACAAATTTATGTTGAATATGAAAGTTGTAGTAAAGAAGAGTTTGCTGAATTTATCTTACCAGGAAGTTTGATGAACTTCAGTTCATTATATAGTGATCTGAAATATTTTGAGGTGAAGAGGAAGTTGTTAATGTGACTGATACTAAAAGATGGGATATTATCACAAAGAACAATGTGCATGTCTATCAGATTAATTTACATTTCACCTTGATTGTATGTTTCTAACCTGTCTCTCGGTTTCGAATGGACGAGCAGGAAAACCATCGAACCAGCTGGATAGGAAAGGAGGCATCCTCGGGTGCCGAGCGCAGTGAGGCCCAGGCGGGCTCAGCTGGTGGTCTCTCTAACCTGCTCTAAGAGGGTCTGCTCTGTGTCCATCACATTCCTCTATGTTTCTGACCCTGGGCTTTGAACTTAACTTTCATTTCTGTCGATATCTTTTCCTTGCCTTCTAGACTCTTACTCTGCCTTCCTGCCCCTGTCCTATGGCTGGTCTTGACATACCTGCCCTTTCCTGTCTGAAAATCTAACTTTACTTGAGACATTCTGGAAGCCCGCTTGTCTATTAAGTATTTAGGATGGTCCTTGAAATCTTGCTCTTTCTCTTGAAATGTTTGTTATGTGCCACACTCATTCTGGATTTTAGAAAACGCCCTGCATTAACAATGAACTGCCAAGCAAACTCAGCTAAGATAATTTACTGGTCTTCAGTTCCCTGTTTTCTTTTTTTTCTTTTTGAGGAACATGATACATTAATCTTATTTTTGCAGAGTTTATTCCTCATAACTTAAAGCTATTTCTCTCCTAATTATACTCCCCATTTCTCTTGAGGGCAATGGAATGAAAAACTGTCTCTGGATTTTACATAACTAAATTTATGTAAAAGAAAAAATGTTAATGTTTTTACTTATCTTGTGACATTTCAAGGTTTGCAAATATATTAAAATTCAAAAGTCACCCAAACCACTGGGCCACTTATTACTCTGTAACTGTTTTCTTCTTTTGAGAAGTAGCAGGGCATTAGTGGAAGAAGGATAGAGAAACTTTTTCTTCCCCTGTTTAGTGTAGTTCTGTCTCCATGTACCCTGGTAACGTCTTCTCAAAAGGTGGTCTTCACACTTGGCCGTCAAGTTGAGCCCAGCCGGCATGGCTCAGTGGTTGAGAGTTGACCCATGAACTAGAAGATCACAGTTTGATTCCCTGTCAGGGCACATGCCTGGGCTTCGGGTTCGATCCCCAGTAGGGGGCGTGCAAGAGGCAGCTGATCAATGACTCATCATTGATATTTCTCTATCTCCCTCCCTCTCTTTCTCTCTCTGAAGTCAATTAAAACAAACATATATGTAAAATATTGATCAGCCTTATGAAATTCTTTTTTTTATCACAGAATTGACTCCCGAGGAGAGAGCCCAAAAGATTGCCAAAGCCATGCGCAAACAGTCTTCAGAAGTTAAAGAGAAGTGGGAAAGTCTAAATGCTGTTACTAGTAACTGGCAGAAGCAAGTGGACAAGGCGTTGGAGAAGCTCAGAGACCTGCAGGGAGCCATGGATGACCTGGATGCTGACATGAAGGAGGCGGAGGCCGTGAGGAATGGCTGGAAGCCCGTGGGCGACTTACTCATCGACTCCCTGCAGGACCACATTGAAAAAACCATGGTCAGCATCACTGCCCCAGATAAAGGAGTTTCAGAAATGTTTTATTATTAAATACAGCACAAGGAAAGAGAGCCAAATATATAACTTGTCATAAGGGATATAAGGAATTGTTAAAAGGTCAATGCCATTACAGCCCATGCCAAAATCACGATATAGAAGATTTCCAGTAGCAACATGTGTTTTCCTGTGCCCTTCACTATCAGAATCCCTCCCCCAAATAACAACTCTGACTTTTACAATAATTTACTTTCATTTATATATTTTTCACTTAACTTTGCATTCCTAAACACTTACTTGGTTTTTAAGAAATATTTTAAAGTCCCTTTTAATCTCCAATATTCCTTTCTTTTTTTTGTGTGCAATGCATTTGTTAAGACAGTTGATTGTTTGTTTTGTAGTGTTTCTCACAGCTTGGATTTTGCAGAATGTCATCCACATGGTGTAGTCTGGCAGATTCCTGTCTACTTTGTATTTCCTGTAAATTGGTAGTTTAATTTAAGTTTTAATCAAACGTATACTGTTTTACTGGGAATTCTTATCTATACATTTTTTCTCATTGTATATACACAATAGGTATACTATATATTGTGTATATTATATAGTATAAATATACTATAAATAGTATAAATATACTATGTAATATACTCAAATATGGATTTGATTATATTAATGATTAGTTTAGCTGTAAATTCTTTTTGTAGTCAGGAATTGCCCACAGTTAAGGATGTTAGACTTATCTTCTGGACTCCCTCTGGCTCTAGTATTCTAAAACATCCAGGAAAGAAGTTAATGAGATTTGGACAATAAGAGATACAAATAACTGATTTCGAGTATCCTGCAGTCTGTAATAGCGTAGTAAGCTGTATACCAGGTAGTTAGAAATCAAATCAAAGAATAAACCAGTGAAAAACCGGAAGGTGTTAGACTGACAGTGTCCTATCATGACTGGGACGTTTATTGCAAAAGACATCCCTCTTTTGTGCATAGACATGGGGCAGTGCTTTCCTTTGTTCGTATGCATGTGGCTCAACAGGGAGGGAAGAATGGTCCAGGTAATCAAGTGCATGCTTAGGTAAATTACTTGTGTGTGTATGTGTGTGTGTGTGTATACGAATAACATAGTAGCATTTATTGAGGCCTACTGTGTGCTAAGAACTGTTCTTCACAGTTTGCATGCGTATCTCTTTTAATCCTCACACTAACAGCAAGATAGGTGTTATTACGATGCCCACTTATCAATGATATTGCTCAAGCCTGCACGGCTAGCGAGTGGTAGAGTTTTCGTGATTTCTTTGTTGCTCTTCTCTCTCATTGTCGAGACCTCATTCACAATAATGTAATTAAGCACAATTTTGATCATCTATTTCAATTCAGAGTTTTAAAAGTTATGGATTAAATTTTAAACTTAAACATATCATTGAAAGAGTATTGGTGCCTGACATCTTATGTTTTAAATAAACATAAGTTTCCAGCAACCCTAAGAATTAAGTAGGCTTATAACTCTAGTCTCCTAAAAACCATTAGCCTGGGGGGATCTGAGTTTCAAATAATCAACGGAAAATAAAGCTTCTTTGGAAGTTGCCTACTTCTTGGACTTTCAAAGATGGTTTTAAACACTGAAGATCTTCAAGTTAGTGGTTTACAAAAGTATGTTCTTTTGAACTGCGATGCCTCTTGCTTAGAGCCAGAATGTATCCATTTGAATTTGAAAGTATAAGTTTTTAATATAGGATGATTAGTGTTGGATGAAAATAAAAACTTGTACAGGTTATTAAAGGCCTAACTGTTTTGGAGCTGTTAACCCCATTTGATTAACGAAAGTAGCCATCGCTATATGCAAATCCTTTTGTTCAAATCTCTGCTTACTTGGAAAGCTAGGAAAGTTACAATTAATATTTAAGAGAGAGGAATAAACTGTGGATTAAAATACTTTAACATCTTATTAGAAAAGCCCAAATCTAATTAAGTCAAATAAAATGGATTCACAATCTGGGGTGTTTTACGTGTGTTCTGACATACACCCCCAATCCCATCGAAGCTATAGGCAGGTGAAAATAAGTACTGATTATTGCTAACTATTATTAAATATGCCAAAGCAAGTGGGAAACTAAATCTTTGGGGTAATCAAATAATTTTAACTTTCTAAAATTATCTTGTCATTCTCATTTGCATAATGCACACCTCTTGACAGGAGACCAGTCTGGGATTCACATCTGCCAACAGGCTGCCAGGCAGTGCCTTTAATACTAGCAGATGTTTCTGTTTTTCCAGCAAGAAGACCACATAGATTTTTATTCTGCTATAGGAAAGCACAGCCAGAACGTGATAAATTGCTTCTTTATAATGGAACACATGGCAGATCTGAGGTCATTTTAAAACTTGCTTTATTTCAAGCTCCTTCATTCGGAAGTGCCTACAAACCAAAATACAAGCTTCCTTAAGAGATTTCTTGTTCCCATAAAACACTGACCACCGCAACCAAAACAAAACCTACAGACCTTGTTTGTCACAGGTCTTTTCATGTTCTTACCTGTGGCTTGTAAGAGAAAAATTTTTATAGAGGAAAAATGAAAAATCCTTTATTCTAGAAGATTTAAAAATTGTTATAATCTAATTAAAATTTAAAAATCATCTTTTGAAGGAAAACTGGTCATTTAAAATTTTATAAATTTGAGAATATTTTCTAGCATTTCATTTTTAATCTTCAATATCTATAGTTTGGTATTTTACAAAGATATTGATTTTAAAAGCTGATTAAAATTCTTGAGTCCTCCAAGGTGCTCGAGGAGAGAATATTAATGTATAAAAAGTATTAAAACCATCACTGAAGAAAGCTTGAAGGGTTTGAGTTCTCTACAGTTATTCTCAAACTGAATCTGAGGGACACCAGGTCTCTTCAAAGTCCAGGCTGCAAAATTCTCTTTCCCACCCGCTTCTCTCTGTCCCATGCTTCTGCTTTGATGATTCGTCCCTCAGGCCTGTGTTGTTAGTGAAATGCCTTTGTTATCATATAACTGCTTTTCTGGCTGGGCTGTATTTGTGCGTCTGTTGTCGTGTGCACTTTCTGACGTCAGCCATGGAGAGAACTGTCGCAACTCTCCCTTCTGACTCTCCGCCTTGAGCTTCTGTGTGTGGCTTTTGGGCATGTTTAAGAATTTTGAAACACTAAAGCTTATTCTCTGATTTACCTAGAATTAATTTCTTTTTAAAAAGAGTTATGTTCTTAATATTATTTTGATGTTTATCAGTCATAATGATTATTTTTAGCCTGTATATGTTATATAAGGCAGTTATATAGGTTAACTAGAAAAATGTTGGAGGAGAGAAGGAAGGAGTTAAGTGGTTAAAGGGGCTCTCTTTTTATACTCCTAAGACAGAAGCCAAATTAATACTTGTAGTGTTTTAATAAAATGTTATAGTACCCAAAGCACTTTAATATATGTCGCTTCATTAAACTTGGAGTGGCGAAGGAGGAGAAGAGAGGGGGCTCACAGGCGAATGCCTAGGGTCTTAAGGGGGGGGATTGTAGCAACGATAAAACCTGAGGGCTGATGCTAGTAGGATGTTCACAGCACCTCTAATCTTGGGCTGTACCAAAAGATAAAAATAAACAGTTCTGTTTTAGAACCCAATTCTGTTCCCAATTCCATATTGGCTTAATCTTGCCTCAAATATAATTTTTGTGGGCCTTCGTCAAAAGAAAGGAATTCTGCTCTTCCTGTATTGCAAACTGTGCTGAATACTGCCAGGTGTCTGTCTCAAGAAGCGTCCATTCTGCGTGGGGGACATCAAGAATATGAATGCTTATAATGCCATGTACTGAAAGCTCAAAGAAGGAATTATATTTAAAACACATAATAACTGAATGGTACAGCACCAGGCAACCAGAGTGGCCTCCAGCATAAAACCCAGCTTGTGTGTCTGACGTATGCCAGCCGAATGTCTTGGTGGAGATAATGCTGGGGAACCCATGGCAGGGGCCTCAGGGAAATCTTTTCTGAAATGGGGCACGTGGGTGGGCACCTGAGTTGAGTCTTAAAGGATCTAGGCAGGGATGTTGGAAAAAGAGAACATGAACATAGAGGCCGGTAAAATTATGTGCAGAATGTAGAAAATGTAATGTTTTCCTTGTTCTGTTTGCTGTCACAGGACAGGACTGTCATTGGCCCCAAGAATGTGTGTTTGTGTGTGTGTTTGTGTATGTGTTTTTCCTCCCCCTCTTCACATACACTGCCCATCCCAACCCATACCGGGTCTGCACTGTGCCAGGGGTGGCATTTGTCAGTTCTGAGCTTCACTTACCTCTTTTCCTCTAGACTCTACTCCTCCTGCCCCACCTCTAACCACAGTGGTCACAGATGCTTTCGAAAGGGACACCTTACCTCTCCAGGAATATAGGCGCGGGTATTGTGGCTAGGGAAGATGTTTTTACTGGCCATTTTGAAACTTAATTTTAAGTGGAAACTTGCAGAAATCGAGTCGTTGCATCAGGTGAAAAAATATTCAGGCAGCCATATGAAGAAAGAAAATGGGACAGAAATTTAAAGATAGAATCAAGACTAGAAATTAGCCCAGTGGCAAACATTTTCCAGACTGAGTTGCGTATCATGAAAACCTGGAAGGAAACACAGCCGCTTACATGCGTTTGCATCACTGTAACTTCTCTCTTCACGCTCCACGTTAGCTTGTCTGCGATACGAAGGGAGACCCTCCAGCTGGTGGCCTTGGTCGCTGAAACCCGGGCTCAGTCCGGCCCGCCGTTGTTGACTGAGCAACTGTGGTTGGCCTCTCAGCTGATCTTGTCATGTTTTTGAAGCAAAGTTCAAAATGCTACTTTGGTTATATTCTTTTCTGATGACATTATTATGACTGTCTTTTTCTTCCAGGCATTTAGAGAAGAAATTGCGCCGATCAACTTAAAAGTTAAAACCGTGAATGATTTATCGAGCCAGCTGTCTCCGCTTGACCTGCACCCATCCCTGAAGATGTCTCGCCAGCTAGATGACCTCAATATGCGCTGGAAGCTTTTGCAGGTATCAGCTTGGACCTCTTCTGAGTCCAGGGTTAGACCTTGGTGGGCCTTTAACCCATCCTCACTCTTCTACCACCCACCATCATTTTTTCTTTTATTGGTTGTGTTTGGTCACGGATTCAGAGCGTGTGACGTCAGTCGTCTTTCAGTATCTTGAACCCAAAGGCCTCATTTATTTATGAGTGTACGTTTTAATGTAATTGTTGATGTACTGCTCGTATGGTATTTGTAGAAAGTTGCGAAAAGTCAAATAAATCACAGTAATTGAAACGTATGATAGGTCACAGAAACATTTCCCCCATAATGGCTTACAAAGGAGTCATTTTTCTTACTTTAATCGTGCATTTTTTATTTCTTTTGAAACGTTAAAGTCTCCACCTTTCTTATTCCAACTGCTTGCTCTTTAGGTGTCTTGCTCAGTTTTTCCAGCCGACACACTGATATTATTGTGGTGTTTACCTTTAGCTCTGAGATCTTAGCTGATGTAATGCAGTTATTTTAACGACTCTAGATCTTACTTGCTTGTCCCAGATTTAATAGAGCCCAACCAGGAAGGACCCTCTGAGTGTTACTGGGTATCAGCATTTTCAAGCTACTGCTCATGCTAATCAATAATTTTTGGCTCATCTTTGTGGAGCTTTGTCACATTCAATGGCCAGTTCCCAAGAGTCATAATAACATTTCTTTTCCCCAGAAAACTAGCAGGATAATTTGAGTGGGAGATTGAAAAAAAAATAATTCTTACTAATTTCTCTCTATATTCTGGGCCTAAAATGTGATATTTAATAAGATAAATATGTAATTTCAAGGTGGCACACAGAAACCTTTTAAGGTATAATAGGTTTCCTGAATGAATTCAAACATTGAAACACACAATGGGTTTCTGTTTTCTTCATGAAATTGAAGTGGTACAAAGTGAGTTGTATAGCATTAGACAGTCTTTTCTGTCGTTGAAAGAGTATTAGTAATCTGAGATTTGTAAGGCAGGAGATGTTAAACTCAAACTTGCTTTTCTGGTGACTGGAGACGGAAATGTTTGACCTCTACCCCTTTCTCTTCTGCTTTAATTCTCTAATTCATCCTTTTTATGTAGGCATCCCTGTGGTCCGTCTTGCTTTCCTTCCCATTCTGCGTCTGTTGCCACCATCTGCAAAGCTGAGGAGTCAGGGAGTCTGTTCTGCCCAAAGGACGATATGTGTCCTGCCTCCCTTGTCTCTGAGCCTGGTGACCGCTAGGGCTCAGATGTTAGTTGTTGTCTGAATGAGAGGGGGAAATCTGTGCTGCCAGGCGACAGTGTTCAATTTCAGAAGTAGCAGCTTGTTTTCTCCTCCCGAATGTAAAGTGTGACATATTGAATGCCTTTTGGCCTTACCAAAAAAACAAACTTGCTAATGCAACTTAAATAGCCAACCAGGAGGAACTCAAGCTGCCCAGTGAGCCAGAGATATACACGTTTCATTTAAAGGCGGCTGAAAATAAGATCGGCAGTCTAAGTGGAACAGCTTACTAGCACTACAGAGGCAAAGACCGGGAAAAAGACATGGAAATGTCAGTAGGCTGTGTGCAATCGTCATTGACTGGCAGTAGTTTCTAGGTGCACCAACTCTTTGCATTTTCATAATGTAGAGAGTTAACCATATAATGTGTGCAAACAAATATATAGAATATATTAATCTACTGGTATATTAATACCCCCAAATCAAGATAATTGGACACAAACTTGGAGGAAAAGAACATATTCCATACTAATCTGTCTTCCTTATATCATCTATCTATCTATCTATCTATCTATCTATCTATCTATCTATCTATC